CCAGCGACGTACCAGTACATTGCTGGTCCATGTTGGGCATATATGTAAAAGCAGAGAACACAGGCATATGATGAATCGGGTCTGTGAACCAATATGACCGCAATTCATTCTTTTTTTTTTTTTTTTTGTAATGCCCATATTGAGGGTTAGGCCCAAAAAATGTTTTACATCCAGAAACTGATTTCCATGCAAATTGTCTGGCAAGAGCTGAATTTGGGTGGGCAGCGATGTATTGATGTATTGTGTGTATAAATTTGCTTTGGCCCACAATCAAATCTTCCATGAAAAACAGCAAAGGGGCTAAACGCTAGTGCTGGCAGTGAACGGGGCTGATTCTTCTAACACTGCATTTAGTTATGTTCATGATCATTATATTTGATCTGTACAAACACTAAACTAGTTAAATGCTAATCTAACGTGTGTGTAAAATGTAGTGCTTTTACTCGGTGCCACGTTTTCTCCTCTCTCCCTGGACCGACCGGGGTTGTAGCAGGGGGCGCAGGCATGTTCACACCCCAAAATAGGAAGCAATGCAAGGTTATGTCACATTACCGAGAGCTGCTTTTCCCCCACAAAATGTGGGTAAGCAGTTGGGAAGTAGTTTAAAAAAAAAAAAAAAATTGTCTATTTAAATTTTTTTTTCCTACACTTTGCTTTTCAGGAGAAATAAAGATAAGTTCTCCTGCAATGCAAAGCTTGCTGAACTGAGTTAGGTTTTTGACAGCTCAAGATAGTGATCTGTGATTGGCTGGAGCTAGTCACGGGGTGCTGTGATTGGCCCCATGTATCATGTGACAGCTATGGGCCAACCACAGCTCACTGGGATGAGAAGCAGAGCTGTTATGAATAAGATTGATTCATAACAGCTTTGCTTACATTGTAATCACATGATCACCGTGTCCAGTTCACCGGGATTTTCATTCTGCTGTGTCCACCGGACACAGCAGTCGTGGGAAACACAGTGCGCCCACTCGGGTGCGGGGTGCCCCTTGATAGTACAGCCAGATTGATGTACAGGTATGTCTCTCTTTGCCTGTAGCTACCGCATTGCGAGCGGGAAGCAGTTAATGCAGCAACCATATCATTACACATGTACAAAAACATACTTTATTACATGGATGTATTTGTGAAAAATACATTATCTTTAAAAACATTGGTTCGGATAGAGAGATATATATATATATATATATATATATATATATATATATATATATATATATATATATATATATATATATAAGGATATATTTCCTTCATTATCACAAAATTTCCCAAAAGTAATCCCGACTCGTTTCGATCATTCCACTTTTTGATCTTCTTAGGGCATGAATACAAGAAGAATTTCTAAATAAACATATTAGGAATAAGTGATAATTTGCATATAAGAAATGTATCAATAACATTCATGTAATTACCATTTTGGTACTTACAAGGGAATTGAGCAATCCATATTAATCAGAGCAATCATAAAACACTGATATCCGCGATTAGGCTGCATGATCCAAGATTTTAATGGCATGAACCATCGGAAGAGCAAAGTTGGTCAGATATCCATCTCATAGTACTGACGGCAACAGAACACCAAATTACCCTCTATATCCCTCTATAATCATCATAGAAGATATGGTAGGAATTAGGTACAGGGCTTTTGCTGGTGGCACAGGTGGATCTGATATCTTTCTGATAAGATTACATCACATTGAGACCTATATATACTGGATGCATTATTGCAGTTGGTTGTTGGCTTTCTTGCTTGAAGGTGGTCCCCCATGCTATCTTGGACAGTTTGAGCATTATAGTTGTTTTTTTGGTTTTGGATTCCTTAGCGTACATGTCTGTTCAGTTGCTGCAACCTATTGGAATAGATTGTAATCCTCATATCTTTGCCAGCTGAGATTTGTTTGTTCGCTTTCCTACCTCACCCTTTCGGCCTCTGATGTGGTTTATCTCACTGGCCTTTTTAATAAACTATTAAGTCAGAAATGCAGTAATGAACTGCCCTTTGTACAACTAAATATGCAAAAGATAATCTCAGTATAACAAAATGTGATGTAACACAGAATGAAAAATTGTTTGGAAGATTATGCGATTTTTTTTTTTTTTTTTTTTTTTTTTTTTTTTTTCTCCCCCAGGAAAGAAAATCACTTGATTTCTCCCATCAACACAGTGCTGATTGGAGAATCCCTCACATGGAACTAATGCATTCTCCCAGCAGGGAGCCATCCCTGCTGGGAGAACACAATGATTACTGCTAGCATCTATAGTGGCAGGCAATAATCGCATGCAAAAAAAAAGTGGACAGGCTGGTTGTACCCAAGTTGACCCAATCATCCTGCTCATAGATATCCTGTCCAGTCCCTTCTGAACCAGACGAGATTTGATCCATCTATGGCCAGCTTTTTCTCTGCAGTGTAAGCAATTTTTCCCATGTTTTTGTCTTTTAAAAGATTGCTACAAGTATAGAAATCGTTTGACTTCGTATTTGAGCTGGTATTGCGGCATCTGCTGCCCTGAAATCCTAAGCAGTGTTGTCAGTTCTCCCTGAGTTCTCTCCCCTTCTGGACTATACAACATTTGGGTGGTGAGTACAGGAAGTGTCTTGTAGCAGGGTTGGCAAAGCTCAATTTCCTGAGCTTGAAACTACCTCCATTGACTTGAGATGGGAGCAGATCTGAACAAACAATGTTTGTTCAGATCTCTTTGCTTTATTGAAAAAAAACAAAAAAACCCAGTATTTGTGCAACCCTAACTTGTGGTAATTCAAAATTCTTATATTGTGTAGAGACAAAATGGGCAGTTTTTTTAAGTATGTCATATGGGTTAGCTGAAACAAGAATATCCCTCAGACTTTTACCCCCTTTTTTTTGCACATGAAGTGTCTTCTAGTGATCAGTAGCAATTTCTGTTCTGACTTGCTGAATGTAGAAGGCATTGTACAGTAATGCAGTGTTGTGTACTGTTTGTATTATCCACACAGACCTCAGTAATTTAGCATTAAGTTTCCCTAAAGCTAATCCTCACCAGCACTTGCTGTTCTGTTCCTGTTATCCTGTTAAAGGTTATTGGATAGTTGTCTGCTGTAATTTGTTTTACAGCTTTTCCAAACTTGTAGAGTTATTTATTGTCAATGAACTGTGTCTGATGGCGGTTATTCAGATTATAGATTTAGTATCTGAGCAATTAGTCTAGCCTTTCATACAACAAGAACATGTTCTAATGGACTCAATAGCTATTCTATGGAACCTCTTGTACTTTTTTTTTTTTTTTTTTTGCCTACCACAAATAAAACAGCCTTTTCTTTTAAATTCCACAACATTCTGTTGCCTTTATTGGAGCATGTTTGCCCAAATGGTGTACATAAAGCATTTACATAATTTTATTATTTCATTATACATACAAGAAGGCCAGATGCAGCTGGAAAATGCCATCTACTATAAGAAACTGGATTATTATCTGACCCAGGACTTTACAAAGCAATTAAAAGGTCTCATTAAAACACTTCCAGCCCACCTACATTCAGAACTTATAAATGCGATTCCGGATCATCCAGAAATCGGGGACTTCTACATGCTACCCAAAATCCACACGCCAGGAAATCCAGGCAGACCCATCATAACAGGTATGAATACACTCACCGAACAAATCTCAGGCTTTGTAGAAAAAAATTTAAAAACCGTTAGTCAAGAATACTGCTAGTTTCCTGCAAGACACAACTGACTTTCTGAACAAGATCAGCATACAGCAATTACCATCTAATACACTTCTAGTGACTATGGATGTAGTATCCCTGTATAGTAATATCCCTTACAAGGATGGATTAGCTGCATGTCACAGATCCTTATCATCCTCACCAAACCACAAATACACTGCTGAGGATGTTACACAGCTCATTGAATTCATACTTGCACACAACTACTTTACTTTCAATAAAGACATCTATCTTAAATGTATGGTTACTGCGATGGGAAGTAAAATGGCACCCCAATATGCCAATTTATTTATGGCTGACCTGGAGGAAAAATTCCTGAACAGCATGGAACAAAAACCATACAGATACTATCGCTATATTGATGATATTTTCATCATATGGACAGAAGGTGAAGAATACCTAAAACAATTTTACTCATTGATCAACACTTTTCATCCATCCATCAATCAAACTAAAAATGGACTACTCAAACACACACCTCAACTTCCTAGACACCACAGTATACATCAGGGATGATACTCTATACACCTCAATATACAGGAAACCCACTGACAGATGCAACTACCTCCACAGTTCTAGCTTCCACTTCCAACACACGAAACGTGCCATCATACACAGTCAGGCCATTAGATGCCACTGAATATGTTCTGACCCAAGAGACAGAGATAAACATCTTGGGACACTAGCAGATGCCTTCCATAGGAAAGGTTATAAGGACAAAACTATCAACAGCATAAACACAGGTTTGAGAACCCGAAGAGAAAAATCTACTTCAGTACAAGGAGGAAAAAAAACAAAACTGTGTATCTCTAGTAACCACATACAACCCAGCACTAGAAGGAATAAGAAAAATAATCAAAGATTTACAACCCATCATAACAGAGGATGGAACTCTGAAAGAAATATTCCAGCAACCACCAATACTGGCCTTCAGACAACCCCCCAACCTCAGAAATAAACTACCGTATTTTCCAGCGTATAAGGCGCCTGGGTGTATAAGACGACCCCCCTAATTTTTCAGTTAAAACATAGGTTTTGGGCTATACTCGTCGTATAAGACTACCCCCCTTCTGAGGCAACACCATTTAACCCCTAGCCTACAGGGCACTTATACCCACTTCCCCCCCAGGCCAATTTTCAGCTTTCAGCGCTGTCACACTTTGACAATTGTACGGTCATGTAACACTGTACCCATATGAAATAGGTGGCACTGATGAGGCACTGGTAGGTGGCACTGATGGGCATTGACAGGCATCACTGATCGGCACTGAAAAGCAGCACTGATAGGCAGCACTGATGGGTGGCACTGATAGTTGGCACTGATGGGCATTGACAGGCATCACTGATGGGCACTGAAAGGCAGCACTGATACATCGCACTAATAGGTGGCACTGATTGGCAGCACTGATAGGCATTGGTAGGTGGCACTGAAAGGCAGCTCAGATGGGCACTGATATGTGGCATTGATGTGCACTGGTAGGCACTGATATGTGGCACTGATGGGCACTGACAGCTGGCACTGCTGGGGCTACACTGATCATCAGGGCACACTGATCATCAGTGCCCTGATGATCAGTGTACATGCCCCCTCCGCGGAAAGCCGATTACCGGCTCTCCTCTCCGATAACCGGCATTTCCCTGTTTACATGTGATCAGCTGTGATTGGACACAGCTGATCACATGACCGAGCCGACATCTTCGGCTCTTTCCGTGATCGGTGATCCGCTGTGTATGAGGGACACAGCGCATCGCCGTGCATGCGCGGAGAATGGGAGGACGTCATATGAGCCAATAACGGCAAGTGATGTATTCTATTAATGAATACAGAGCCTGCTCAGATTGGCTGCGTCAGAGAGGCGGGCTGATGTCACAACTTTAGCCAATCCGAGCAGGCTCTGTATTCATTAATAGAATACATCGCTCGCCATGATTGGCTCAGCGCGGTACACTGTATGTAGCTGAAGCTACCGTACAGTATTACCGCACATCCAGCGGTTCTATACCCGGCGTATAAGACGACCTCCAATTGTTGGGGTATGTTTTTAAGTAAAAAAAGTCGTCTTATACGCCGGAAAATACGGTAATCAGTAGGAAACTTCCTTCTGATTATGATGTCACAAATGATGGAAGCAAACCCTGCAATAAAAAACACTGCAAACTGTGCAACCAAATCAATCCATCAAAAAGTGTCAGACACTCCAAAGGGATCTTCAATATCTCCAGATCATACAGCTGCACTTCTAGTAATGTTGTTGTGTACCTTATCCAGTGCAGAAAATGTAGTAAAGGATCTTATGTTGGCAAAACAGGACAGACGTTGCAAACCAGAATGAATTTGCACAGACATACCATCAAGGAACATAAAGAAGATGACTTTTGCACACCTGTGGGACACCATTTTGCACAACCATACCACACTTTGGGAGACCTCAATATTTTAGTTCTTAAAGGAAATTTCAAATTCATTCAGGAAAGAAAAACTTTTGAACTAAGAATGACAATTCTATTTGACACAAGAGATAATGGCCTGAATTTGGACATGGGATTCCTCAATCATTATCCAACAGTTTTATGACTATCACCTCAAGCATGACTGCCTCTGTGAGTGTAGTCTCCAACCCCCCCCCCAGGCTTTGCTTTTACTGTGTCTTATCTCTGTTTTTTTTTATTTTTTTTATTTTTCATCCCCTATATCTCTTCTAACATTCTGCTAAAACTTTGATCAGTACTGCTTGGACCTGAAGAAGGAGACATTCCCCGAAGGCTTGTCCTCAAAATTGTATGTTAGTGCAAATAAAAGGTTTCACAGACAGTACTTTTTTATTATTATTATTATTATTATACAGTATTTATAAAGCACCAATAGTTCGCTCAGCGGTGTACATTACAAAGGGGGACAGAACATGTGACAGAACAATACCAATACAATGCAAAACATGAGGGGATCGAGGGCCCTGCTCTTTCGAGCTTACAATCTAGGAGAGAGGGGATGGTGGCACAGGAGGAGATAGCTGTTGGGGGATGGAGTGGTAGGAAGAGTGGAGGAGGTCGGCAAGTTAGCAGGGGGTGGGGTAGGCTTCCCTGAAGAGATGGGTTTTCAGGGTGCGCCTAAAGGAGAGGAGAGTACGTGATAATCTGATGGGTTGGGGCAGGGAGTTCCAGAGAATAGGTGACACCCTGGAGAAGTCCTGGAGGCGGGCATGGGAGGAGGAGACCAGGGAACTAGAGAGGAGGTCTTGTGAGGAGCGGTGGTGTGTGCGTGCTGGGGGGGTACTTGGATATTAGGTCAGTGATGTAGTTTGCGGCAGTATGGTGGACCGCTTTGTACGTCAGCGTTAGGATTTTGAATTTGATCCATTGCGCAATCGGAAGCCAGTGGAGGGATTAGCAGAGGGGGGTGGCGGAAACTGAGCGGTTGGAAAGGTGAATGAGTCTGGCAGCCGTATTCAGGATCGACTGAAGCGGGGATAGCCAGCGGCGAGGCAGGCCAGTGAGGAGGGAGTTGCAGTAGTTGAGTCGTGATATGATGAGGGAGTGGATGAGCTGTTTGGTGGTTTCTGGAGTTAGGAACGTGTATATTTTGGCGATGTTGCGGAGGTGGAGTCTGCACGAGTTTGTTAAAGATTGGACTTGGGGCTGGAAGGATAGGTTGGAGTCCAGAATGACACCAAGTACTCTGGCCTGCGGGGCGGGTTTGATGGTAGCATTGTTGGATGTGACGGAGAAGTCAATGGGGGGTGGTGGTGTCCGGGCTGGGTTGAAGACAAGAAACTCTGTTTTGGAGAGGTTCAGTTTAAGGAAGTGGAGCGACATCCAGTCTGATATGTCGCTCAGTAGGTGTGTGATTCTGGCGGAGACCAAGGGGGTGAGGTGGGGGGGGTTGAGAGATTTGTGTGTCGTTGGCGTAGAGGTGGTAGTTGAAGCCGTGAGAGTGTATGAGTTGGCCAAGGGAGGAGGTTTAGATGGAGAAGAGGTAGGGGCCCGAGGACAGAGCCTTGAGGGACCCCAACAGAGAGGGGGAGGTGGTAGCATTATAGCTAATGCTGAAAGAGTGTTGTGACAGGTAGGATGAGAGCCAGGAGAGAGCAGAAATCTCTGAGGCCGAGGGAGTGTAGTTTTTTTTGAGAAGGAGGGGGTGGTCGACTGTCGAAGGCCGCAGAGAGGTCAAGGAGTAGGAGCACTGAATAGTGGCCATTAGCTTTGGCAGTTAGCAGGTCGTTTGAGAGTTTGAGTAAGGCAGTTTCGGTGGAGTGTAGGGGATGGAAGCCGGACTGTAGGGGATCGAGGAGGTTGTTGTCGTTGAGGTGAGAGCATAGGCGGGTGTAGACTAGGCGCTCAAGGAGTTTAGATGTAAATGGGAGCAGGGAGATGGGTCTGAGGTTGTTCGGGTCATTGGGGTCCAGGGAGGGATTTTTAAGTATGGGGGTGATGTGTGCATGTTTCAGAGGGGAGGGGAAAGTGCCGGAGGAGAGGGAGAGATTGAAGATGTGGGTGAGGGAGCGTAGGATGGAGGGGATAGGGTCGAGAGGGCAGGTGGTGAGGCGGGCATCAGAGAGGATCTTGGAGACTTCCTCGATGGTAGTAAGGTCAAAGGTGCGGAGTGTTGGGGGAGCTTCAGTATGAGGAATGTAGGGTGGGGTGGAGGTCAGAGCAGTGGTGGGGCTGTGGGAGAGGGGTGATGAGGGGGTAGCTGAGTGAGGGGGAACGGGGTTGGTGGGAGTTTGAGCAGAGACTAAGTCCCTGCGGGTTATGTCGAGGGAGAGGGGGGGGATGAGGGGGTAGCTGTGTGAGAAGGGACAGGTTGAGAGGGCGTGTGAGTTGCGGCAATGTCCTTGCCAATTGTGTCAATCTTGTTTTTGAAGTGATTGGCAGTCTCAAGGGCAGTGAGGTGGGGGGGTGGCGAGAGTAGAGAGTTAAAGGTGGAGAAGAGTCGGCGAGGATTGGAGGAGAGGGCCTTGATTAGGCTCAGGAAGTAGGCTTGTTTTGCTGCGTGGAGGGAGGAGGTGTAGGTGTGGAAGGCAGATTTGTAGCGGGTGAAGGCTTGTTGGGATTTGGTTTTGCGCCACAGTTGCTCCAGGTCACGACTGTGTCATTTGAGGGTTTTGGTGTGATCAGTCTGCCAGGGCTGGAGCAGTCGGGGTCTGCGTGTGGTTAAAGGCGCTAGTGAGTCAAGGGCTGTTGACAGCGCGTTGTTGTAGGCGGTCATAGCCAAGTCGGGGCAGGACAGGGGGGAGGATGCTGTCATGGAGTTGATCAGCTGCAGAGTGGAGGGGGGCAGGGTTAAGGTTGCGGAGGTTACAGCTGGTAGTAGTGTGACATTTGGAGGGGTAGGCGTTGGAGGATGAGGAGATAGAGAAGGTAATTAGGTTGTGGTCAGAGAGAGGGAAGGGGGTGTTAGTGAGGTTGTGGGGAGCGCAGCGGTTGGAGAAGACCAGATCAAGGATATTACCGTTGGAGTGGGTGGTGGATTGTATGCACTGTGCAAGTGCAAAGGAGGAGGTTTAAGTGGAGGAGATGGGATGTGTCCGGGTTGTCGAGATTGACAGGGATGTTGAAATCCCCAAGGATGATGGTGGGTAGCTCAGAGGAGAGGAAGAAGGGTAGCCAGGAGGAAAAGTCATCCAGGAAGCGGGATATGGATCCAGGAGGCCGGTATATCACAGCAATCTTCAGGGGGGTTGGGGAGAATAGTCGGACGCAGTGGGCCTCGAAGGAGGAGAAGGATAGGGGAGGGGGGGTTTGGGAGGACTCGGAAGGTGCTCTGCAGTGACAGGAGCAGACCAAACCCACCACCTTTACGACCGTTAGACCTGGGTGAGTGGGTCCAGGTGAGACCTCCGTAGGAGAGTGCAGCAGGGGAGGTAGAATCAGTGGCCTGGATCCAGGTTTCCGTAATCACTAGGAGGTTGAGGGAGCAGGAAACAGAGGTCGTGGATGGCGGTAAACTTGTTGCACACCGATCGGGCGTTCAGGAGTGCACATGAAAACGGGGGGAGATTTTAGGGAGCAGGGGGACAGATACTAAGCTGCAGCGGGACGTAGAGGCGGGAGGGTGTTGTGCGGGTGAGGGAGGTGGTGGAGGGCCAGGATTCAGGGAGATGTCCCCCGCGGTTAGGAGAAGAAGGGTGAGAAAGGTGGCATGGGAGCGGGATGTGCAGGAGCGTGAGAAACTACTAGTGGAGGTGTTGGGGTCAGTGGGAGAGTGGAGTAATAGGAGGAGGTGGTGGGTGCCATGGAGGGGTGAAGGAAGCAGTGAGGACACAATATACAATTGTTTGGGAGGGGCAGAGGGATATAGTAAATGCATTTTGGGAACGGAGGAGAAGAAAATGAGTGGAGGAGGCATTTTGGGGAGGTGATGAGAGCAATAATAGGGATATGATAGCAATGAGGGGGAGATGTACAAGTTTTTTGGGGGGGAGCAGAGGGGTAAAGAAATGAGATTTGGGAACAGAGGATAGTAATATGAGGAGAAGAGGGGGTGTATTATATAAAGGTACACGGAGTGGGACTCAGGTATGTAAGAGATTTTTCCCAGGGTGTTTGCTTGCAGTCTGTCCAGCAGTAGAGTTTCTTGCTGTTGTTGTATCTTCCTGCTGCTTAAGTTCTCCTGCTTTAGTTCAACTGCTGTGTTTAACTGCTTCGCACTCCTTCAACGCAGCACTCAATCAAAAGCAGCACCCCCATCAGAGACTGTGCCCCCCATCAGTGATCTCCCCCCATGTTTCTATTATTGAGATTCTAAATCCTCAAGGTATTTATT